CTAGAGCAGGTCAAAGACAGCGGCCAGTATGTACAGCAGGAGAACGCTGTTGTCAGCGACGGCAGGGGGCGCCTCCTGGCCTAGTCCTACGAGGGCGCAGGCGAAGGTCTACGATCAGGGGGACGTAAGACCTGGGTACAGAGGACTCGGAAATACCCGACGAGGTCGTCAAAAAAATGACGAGGCCGAGCCTGCATTTTGACGAGGCCTCCCGCTGCAGACATCCCACGAAACTCCTCCTCATCAAAATCCGAGGCGCGGTCGTCAAAAAACGATGGCGAACCCGAGTCCTGGCAAACCCGGGTCTTACGCTCCCCCGATACGAGAGCGCAGGCGCAGGTTTGTTGAAATTGGGACTGCAGAGGCGCAGAGCAGCAGGGCGGGGGGACGGAGGAGGCTGGAGCCACACATGGTGCCCACTGACTCGGCGACTGGCCGCGGTGCTTGCTCCCACACTGCCGCTCTCTTCCTCTTGGCCTGTGCGGGCCCGACCACGGCGCCGGAAGGGGAAGAGGAGGAGCAGCAGCGACAGCAGGGGCAGCACCAGCAGAAGCAGCAGGACGCCAACAGCGACGACGACGACGACGACGACGACGACGACGACGACGGCGACGACGACGACGACGACGACGACGACGACGACCGCGACGAATCGGAGATGGGCCAGGGAAGGGAGCGGGAACGGTGGTCGGCGAGAGCAGTGGGAAGGCGCACTCCCCAGCCTGGCCAATCTCAGCGGCCGCGGGTGCGCCTGCGCCCGCGGGGTTCGCCGGGGGGGATGCCACGAGGGCGGGCGAGGCTCTCGAACATCGGAGGAGAGCCAGTGGAGATGTCGGCGCCCCCCCTCCTCCTCCTCCTCCTCCTCCTCCTCCTCCTCCTCCTCCTCCTCCTCCTCCTCCTCCTCCTCCTCCTCCTCCTCCTCCTCCTCCTCCTCGTCCACCTGCTTCTCATCGTCCTCCCCCTGCGGGCCCGCCGCCCGCCGTCCGACTCGGGCGGCGGCGCCCATGTCCTCGTGCCTCGTGCCTCCTCGTCGTACTGTTAAGTCGGGCCTGTCCCTCGACAGGAGGGATATTCAAGAATGGTAAAAAAAATAGCCTGGGGACGATTGTTCGCCTACTGTTGGCCATGTTGGAATATGTTTGGTGTGTTTTCAGTTTTTCGTCGAAAATCCTTCTGTAGGGGGACACGCCCGACCTACGTAATCGTAATGATCGGTCTCTCCTTGGTGACCGCCCATGTCTCGGCGAGCCCTCCTCCGAGGGCATCTATCCCCAGGCGGGCGCTGCCGACAAAGTTCAGACTGCGTTCCGCCCAGGGGGGCCCGACGGCAGTTTGATCTCCACCCCTCGGTTCCACATGGGGCCCTTCCCCTCAATTCTGGGGACTCCTCCACCAGATCCTGGGGGAACCCTCCGCGCAGCTCAGCATATCGAAGCAGTATCTGCCACCGTGCCCTTGAGGCACCGAGAGGCCCCCCGCGACATCCCGACGAGCATCGGAGAGGCCTGTGACCCACAACCCAGGCACGGTGGCGAGACGGTCCAAAGGCCACTAGATATCGCATTGCGTAGGAGTGTGTCGGACGGCATGCGGCTACACGGCACATCGAGTCACACAGTGGCAGCGCATGGCAAAACATAGAAACTATGAGTGTGTCGCGCTGCATGACAATACATTGCGCTACACGGGACTGCCAGAACGTGTGAAGCGGTGGCCTGCGAATTGAATGCACAATGACGCTTGGTTCCGATCGATGTGAGACTACCCCTAGCGCATCTGCTTCATCTTGCATTTGTCTCACTCAGTCTAAGGTGCCTTAAGCTGGCCTTCAAATTCTTTGTGTCGCTCTTCGTCGATTGCAGCTGAGGTGCCCTGAAGCTGGTGTTTGCTGTGTCGCGCGTCTGCGTTTATCGTCACGCTGGCTTGGATACGTGTTCCGCGTTTAGACATAGTGTATGCAGATTGCCGTTAGCTTACCTTTAGCTTGCCTCGAGCATGTAAGCTTGCATTGATCCTGCCAGTGGCACACCAGTAGCTCTGTGTAAGCTTGAATATGAGTCGTCGAGTCTGTTTCGCCTGTGGGTAATCTGCTTATCAGCGTATCGTGAGTGTTCCAGTTGTTTGGGTTGAGCTCGGTTGCAGGGCACGTGAATCAGCTTGCCCTCAGCTTACCTGTCGCTTGCCCAGACGCCTCTCCTCGGAGGAGAGAAATCCCTTAAGCGGAATTGCGTCAAACTCATCAGACACTATTGAGTTCACATGCAAGTGCCTGGAAAGAACTCCGAAAAGTTAAGGGGGAGCTCGCCTTTCAGAAAGGGCCTCTGAGTCTCCTGCACGCGCGCGCACGGGTGCACGCGCGGGAGGAGGGAAAAAAGAGTAGGGGAGGAGGCGAGCGAAGAGGGGAGGAAGAAGGAGGAGGAGAAGGATGAAGAGCAGGAGGAGAAGGAGGCGAACCAGTGCAGCCCGTAGGCAATTGGGCGCTAGCGGAACGGGTTGGGGTCTCCAGGCGTTCTCGCCCATTCCTTCACAGCAAGACGTTCGCGTATGCCGCGTACTGAACTGTCCTCGATCGACTCCCATGGGCACTGCGTGGCCCACTGCAACACGGCGCGGGCTGCTGCTGAACTCCTCGAGCGCCCGAGCGGCCCGGAAGGCGGCGAGGCGATGGGCCAGCACCTTGGGAGGTCCACACGGGGCGACCTCGAGCTGGCGAAGCGCTTCGACTGCTGGAGGGGCAGGCGGCAGGGCGATCGCACGTCCGCTCGGCCAGGCAGTGGAATGGAGGGGCCCGAAGGGAAAGTGCACGGCACCAGAACTAAACAAGAGAAGGATTACTTGCCTGCCGAGGCTTCCTTGAGACGAATCCTCTCGACTGGAGCGGCCACCCGCTGCTCATAAGAGGGCACCCCTGAGGCTGAGAAACTCCTGGACACCTCCGTAGAGTCAGGGACCGCAAAGGAGTCCGAGGCGGTGCCAGGTCGGCACGCAGGTGCTCGAGGTGCTGGGCAGGCCACTGCGGGATGGCGCTGGCACGGTGGGGCCATCGAGTACAGGACTGCGGATATTTCTGCGAATGCTTTGGAACGGCTGGTCTGGCGACGAAGGTGGTGGTGGACGCCGTTGGTCGTGCTTCTCGCTGGCCCCTGGTCTCTCACGAGCCACTCCACTCTATCGAACGCAGACCAGGACATCGTCATCGGTCTTGTCATAACCTCCACGCCCTCCTCCTGTGCGCCGCCGGTCACTCTGGCGCCGTTGTCGTCCGTTGTTGCCGCTGGTGTCAGTGATCGGCATTGGTTGGCATTGCTGGTCGGTGGTCCTGTTGCCAGTGATGCCGGTCAGTGGTTGTGGGCGGTGATCGAGGTAAGGCTGGAAGCCAACAGGTTGAGGTCGAAAGCTGGAGGTCGGAAGTTGGGAGGCCGACAGCTGGTATTTGACGCTGGGAGTCGAGAGCTGGAAGGTGGAGGTCGGTCAGGTGTGTGCGGAGATCGATAGGTTGAGGTCGAAAGCTGGCGGTGGATGACGAGGTCGATTGCTGCTGGTGGACTCTGGGGGTCGGAAGGTGGAAGCTGGAGGTTGATTGTTTGAGGTTGGAAGTCAGGCGGAGGTTGAAAGCTGGAGGCGGAATTTTGAAGGAATACAACTGGTGGGTGGATACTGTGAGTCGGATGCTCAAGATCGGAAGTCGGTTTGGTAGGATTCGGGGCCGCTTGGTGGAGGTCGAGTGCTGGATGTTTCAGATGGGGGGTCGAGGACTGGTGGAAGCGACGGAAACTGGTGGATGGAGGTGGGTCAGATGGGGCTGGGTGTCGGAATGTAGAGGTTGAGAGTTGGACGCTTCAAAATTGGGGCCGAGGGGTGGCGGTGGACGTTGGAAGTGGAGGTCGAATGCTGGAGGTGAGAAAACAGAGCTGGCAGATGGTATTTTCGGGTCGATGCCTTTAGAGTAGCACTTGACGTTGAGGGTCGACCACGTGCCTGTAGGATCGGATGGGATCGGAAGCTGGAGGTCGTACGATGGGCGCTGGGGGTCGAAAGCTGGAAGATGTACATCGGGATGTCCGCGTTGGAAGCCAGACGGTGGAAGTCGAAAAATGGGCGTGCAGAAGTCGACGTCGATGTTACAGAAACTCCTGCACCCGGGATCTGACGAATTCCTGAAAAGGCTTTTAGAAAAGAAGAGCACGGTGCATCGAGATCCCCCGTTGGCGTGAAACGTACCCAGGTTCCATCTGAGATACTGGGGGCCAGGGGCGGAGAATTCAATGTTGAGGTCGGGGCCGGAGGGTGTAACACTTGTGCTGTGGGAAGATCAGTTGCCAGGTAGCTCCTGGCAATGATCTATTTGCCCGCGTCCGTGGCATCCCCGAGACAGCGGTGGTGGGAGTCAAAGACGCGGCTGGAAGGTTGGCGTTCCGGCCCACGATCCTCATCATGGAAGGGCTCGTTGTGGCGAGGGAAATCTGTAGGAGGAGACTGAGGAAGACCAAGTTCATCTGGGATCACTGCGGTGAGCAGATCGGTACCTTTACCCGCGGTTTCCACGCTCGATAGAGCCAGAATGTATATAGTGCAAGGTGCGGCTCGGGCGGCGGGATCCGACGATCCTGTCGAACGTAGTTGTCAGATCGATCAACTGTGCGCTGCTATGGAGATCTCCCTACTCTGCACATGCACCAATGGCCCACTCTCAAATAACCGTGCGTTTATCAATCCTAACGGTGAGGGATAACACTCCACCCACTGTGGCCGTGTATGGTTGGTCTGTGTCGAACGTGTATGGGAAAGGTTAAACCCATTGTGTTCTTTAACAAGCATTTGGCACGGAAGCAATACTTGCGGGCAGCCCGAACCAATGATGGACGCATGCGTGTGGTCCTTATACGATATCCTTGTTTGATAAGTTCAACGCTGCGGAGCTGGCAAACAACAATGCTCTATCATCGATTGCAATGAACTCCTTGTACAGGATATAGTTCGTGGACGTTCCTGTCAAATGGCGTAGTTATTGATAGGAATCGGTGCATTTGAGAGTAATAGCTCCTGCTTGATCCAAATGGTTGCCTGTTCCAATGTGTCGGAATCGTTTAGGTTCTCAATTAGGGCCGTAATGCTCCTGTTGTCTGGGATGTTCGCGACGCCGCGGGTCCCAAGGGGCTTCGGACGTGCTGTAGTTTGCTGTTGCTTTAGTGTCGCAATGTCCATTTCCGATCATATTAATATTCCACGCGTAGTAGAGTCCGCTGTCCTCGCAGATGTTGCTGAAGATGGGCGGGACGATATTTCCAGTGCCAAGCCTCGCGTGGTGATGTCGTCCATGGCCGACTTCAGAGGGGCCACGGCGACGTTGAGATCGTGTCGACAAATATCATGCGTCTTCATAGTTGTGATATCGTTCCGAATCGGTTGTAGTTGTTCCTTCAATATGCTCTTGAATGTCTCCGCGTTGAAAGGTTTTCCAGACATCACGTTGGTGACTTCGGCGTTGCTGCGGTTGCCTGCGTCGACCATGCGTTGTTCGAACAATGCCTGAACAGGATCTCTGCCTTGTTCGTCAACATTTAGTGGCGAGTTGCCAGGGCGAGGTACTTTGTCCGCGGGTTTGAAAGCTGAGCGCCGCGGCCCTGGAGAAGAAATATCATGTTTCTCCAACATTGCCTCAAGACTAACAAAGGAGTTTTGAGTAAGCGGTGTGCCTTGAGCCTTGAGCCTTGAGCCAATACCTTGAGCCTTGGAGGGAGGACGAGGAGAGGAGGAGGAGAGAGAGGAGGAGGAGGAGGAGGAGGAGGAGGAGGAGGAGGAGGAGGAGGCGGAGGTGGAGGAGGGAGGGAGGGAGGGAGGGAGGGAAGGAAGAGGAGGAGGAGGGGGAGGGAGGAGGAGCAGGAGGAGGTGGGAGGGACGAGGGGGGGCTCCGGCTCGCTGGGGAAGCCCGGGTCGAGCGAGACCCCAGGGAGTGACGCCTGGGCCCGTCGTGGGGCCGCATCCGCGTCCCATTCGAGGAGGATCGATTCCTGTTTTCGACGGGGCGACGGCGCTTCGCGCAGAATATTTTCGTCGGCGGCGAGGCAGAGGAGGTCCGCAGCAGCGTGAAGCCGACTAGGGCAATCGGAAGGCGGATTGTCCGGCGTGCAGGAGGCAAAAAAGAAGTCGGGGGCGGCCGCGCGGGGGGAGAACCCGGGCAGAAGACACGCCCCTCCCTGTTACATGTCGCCTCCTGCACCGGGGGGTGACGGAGCGAGGGGAGAGAGGAGGGGAGCAGAGGCGGTCCAGGAGGGGGCAAGGGGATGGGAATGAGGACGGGAGGGAGGGGGGAAAGGGGAGGGGGCAGGAAGGGCGGAGTGAGGGAAGCGGGCACGAGAGGAAGCGAGGCGAAGGGAGGGACGACGGGCGGGAGGGGCGAGGGGAGAGGACGACGGGAGGGAGGGGGAAGATTGAGGGGGGGGAAGGGGGGAAAGGAGAGGGTTCATCACTGCGTGGTGCATGCTGCTTCGTCCCTGCGGTTGGGGGGTCTGGGGTCTGGGAAGGCGCGGGACGCGTCCTCCCTCGGGTCGGGCCGGAGTGGTGTTCGAGCTCGGGATTGTTCAGAAAAGTGCGTTCTCCTCCTCCTCCTCCTCCTCCTCCTCCTCCTCCTCCTCCTTCTCCTCCTCCCCCTCCCCTCGCCCTCCCTCCCTCTCCTGCCCCACTCCTTCTCCCCCTCTCCCGCCCCCTTCCCTTCCCTTTCCTGCCCCCCCACCCATGCCTATCATGCCCTCTCCTTCCCCTCCCTCCCCTTTCGTGCTCCCCCTCCCCTTGTCGGCAGCTCACCACCTTGGCTCTGCAGCCCCCCAAAAACACTTCCTCGTCCACCGCTCCACCCTCGGGCCTCAGAGATTTTGGTGAGCGCGTCACCGGTCAGGCTGTTCGCCTCCGCGCGAAGGTAGAAGCACATAATCAGACGAGCAAGCATGGCAAGGGCAAGGGCGGTACAACAGGAAGCGGAGGAGAGCCGATGAATCGTAGACACACGAGCACTGGTAGTCCCAGTTCCACGGAGGCAGCAGATGTGAGGTCTCTGCACCCTCGCTCGCGAAGCATGTGCTGGCGACGCCGCGGAATAACAAAAGCTTGGCAGACTGGGCAGGACATGGGCCTAAGGTAGCTAGACAGAAGATGGCACGTGACGGCCCAGGGCTACATGGCAACCGGCCCTTCTGCCAAGCACGCCCTCGGCAACGATCTCACCGGAATCACGAAAGCCTTATCGACGCTCTGGTGGGATCGTCTCACTTTGCTGGCTTTCGAAAGAGTCGAAAAGCTTGATTGGATCTGCCTGACCTGAGCTAGTGTGACATAGGGTTCAAACATGGCACGAGTGGCGAGTAAGGTGGCCCGCGCGGTTGACCAACGTGCCTTTCTCTATGTTGCGTTTTAGGCCTATCCGAAAAAAACATGCTGAACGGTTACAGCGGGCACTGGCATCAGTGACGCACGAGACTATCCCGTAGTAATGCATCGTGTATGGGCAATGACACTCACATACAATCCACACACCCTCTGGCTGTCAGTGGTCTCGAGCCTCTGGTACAGTCAACCCGTATAGTAAGGACGCACGATGAGGATGCAAGGGCCTTGGAAGGCCATGCCGACACTCTGCGGGCGGGGCGCGGCCAGCGAAAGCGGCCAGAGATGGGCCGAAGGGGCCAGGATACAAGGGTACCCTTGGGAAGGTTGCCCATCCTTACCATGCGGGTTGACTGTACCCCAGAACAGCTTCGCACTCCCTGCTGCACCTCTGGACCCCGCGCTCCAATCCCGGGGGGCCAGACCAGGGAAGGGGGTGGCGGCACAGGCCCGCACCTCGACGACCCAGACGCCAGCCGGCGGCGTCGACAAGGGCGAATAGCCAAAGGGGCGGGCATTACACGCATTCGCCCGGGAGCCTTGTCGAAAACATAGATCATCGGCGCCCTTGGATGCATGCATTGCTCTCCTCTGGGCTATTCGCCCCTGTCGTCGCCTCTGAGCCAGACGATCTGATTGGCCTAACCGAGCTTTGTTCCTCCATGCCTGCCCTCGGGTGCCTCTGTTGTCGGGCCCCAGGACCCTCGAACACGGCTCCCGGGCAAAAGCCTGCCCCAGGGAAGCAGTCGGACCTGAAGAATACTACCGGCGGACCTCCAAGGGACGCGCGAGCCAAGTGGGCCATCTGCCAAGGGCTCCTCGCTCTCGACCTGCCTCGGCGGGCCCTCTGGGCGCGGGCAGCCTCGTCGCTCGGAGGCGGCCCTGCCCGCCGCCCTCGCTCGCCGACGGGGCAGCGGCCAGGTGCACCCGGCGGTGGGCCGCGCCGTGGTCGCGCTCGCCGACGGCACGGCTGGCGCACGTGCGCAGGAATGCATCCACTTTTTTTCGTCGGCGGCGGGGCAGACTGGCTGCACCACCGAGAAGCGAACTGCCCAGCGTGCAGAAGAAGAGACGGGGAAAGACGGTGCCGCCGCGGAGGAGCAGGGAGGAGGGGGCACTCAGAGGCGGAAACGGAATGCAGCCACAGGGAGTCCAGGTCGTCCGTGCCCTTGCCCGTCGTCCTTGCATCCAGCGTCGACTCGTCGTCGTTCGGGAGCCCGCTACCATCGGTGGGCGGGGCGGGCGCTGCAGGCGTCGTGGCCACGGTCACCCTGGGCCTTCCTCCGGGAGGGCGCGCTCCGACGGCCAAGTCTTCCGGAGGCTCGCGGGGGCTGCCAGCACCGTCGTCGTCGTCGCGGCGGTCGCTGCCTTAAATCAGGCATGTCCCCCTACAGGCGGATTTTGGACGAAAAATCAAAAACAGTCGGAAAAATGCTCAAAATCACTAGAAACTCATCAAAAGAAAGTCTCCAGACTGTTTTTTGACTCTGAATACTCCTCCCGTAGCAGTACAGGCCCGACTTACGCGTTGCCGGCGGTGTGGCCAGAGGCAGTCACCGCAGCAACCTGCGGCCGGGGGCACTGCAGGAGGCGTGGCGCGAAGACGCGGCTGGCCGCGAGACTTCGGGGGCTGCGCGGTGAGCTGCCGCCGTCGTCGCTGTCGCCGTCGCCCGCCCGGCATGATTGGCAGGGGCCCTCTGGACGAGTACAGTTGGGGCAGATCCACAAGAAACCTGCTGCAAGAAACCCAGCCCTGCGACCCCAGGACGTCCATCGATTTTCCCTGTGGGGACGTCACGCTTTCCATCGCAAAACCATCGAAACCCAAGAAACCCAGGGCACCCTGGAGGCAACCAGGGTGTTTCTTGGCAGGGCCCTCTGGACGAGTACGTCGTGGGAGCAGGACCGGCCCGCTCCAGGCGCCGAGGCCCGGGGAGCGGCGACGGCTGCAGCACGCGCGCTGGCCTGCATCGCTCGGCCAAGCCGCAAAGGAACTCCAGGAGGGCGCCCGCGACGAGAGCGCCGGGTACACGAGGACCGCCGGGCATCTCCCCTGCAGTTGGCGTTGGGAAGACAGCGTGCAACATCGAGCTCCGAAAAGCATGCCAATCCCTGTCAGGCTATCCCCCCGCGAGGGCCCCTTCTGTGCGAGCCAAGGGGGGTTCTTCGGTGCACGCCATCCCTGAGGTTGGGGATAGCGTGTAATAAGCGGGCCAGCAGCACGCTATCTTTCCACCCCCATCCGTACGCAGGAGAGCCACGACGGAGGCCACCAGGAGGGCGGGGATGATATTCGGGAAGGGCTCAGCGGTCAACATGTGGACGAGGGACCTGGTGACGAAGATCTTCGTTCGGAGGCCGAGAAAGGACGGGGCCGCGACCCACCTTCCATGTCCCATCCTCATCAATCACATCATCTGCCTCATGCTCTATCTCGTCTCTCCTGTGAGGCAGGTGCACAGGAGGTGTCCGCAGCACTCTGTGGGGAGGCCTGGGTGGGTGTTCGGCAAAACAGGTGGCGCACGAGAGGTACACGAAGGCTTGCTGCAGCAAGAGCGGGGAGCTTCACGTGATCATGTGCAAACTGCAGGATGCCTCGCGCCGCGCTGCTGCGCTGAAGAGTTGCACAGAGGCGCCGCAGCATGGACGCGGTCGGGGCAGGAGCAGATGGACCAGCGGCTACCACGGCGGTGGCATCCACCCGGTGGCCAGGCCCGAGGAAAGAGACCTCCACGCGCGAGTGCGCCTCAGAGACGCCGAACAGGGTGGCAACCAGCACCGTGAATCCCACCAGCCCTCTGGGCTTAGGCGGTGTGGTCTAGAGCGATTTCTCTTCCAACCCCTCCCTCTTCTCCTTCGGGGAGGGGCTTGCCCTCCCCCTTCCCCCTCTCCTGGACCTGGAGGGGGGGCATTCGCGAGGCGTCGGAGCGTCCAAGATGGCCCACGATGGCTCCCAAGGTGGCAACCAGCACCGTGGCCTGGGAGATCCGCCTCGGAAGCTGCAGCCCCGCTCGGCCAGGACGGGGTGCGCGCTCACGGCCGCGCCTGCCCCGCCGCCGCGGCACCGAGGGCAGCAGACCTGGGGGCCCGCTCGCGGCCCCGGAGACCGCTCGCACCATGGCTGCAGAGGAGGGAAGGGAGCAGTGGCGATGGGCGGGGAAGCAGAGGGAGGGCGGAGAAAGGAGAAGAGATGAGGGAGGATGGGGATTGAGGAGGGAAGGGGCAGGGAGGGAAAGGGCAAAGGGAAAGCGCCGAGGGAGGGAGGAGGATTGAGGAGGAAAGCGACGAGGCAAAGAGGAGGATCGGAGAGGATTGAGGAAAGCGACGAGGGAGGGAGGGAGGAGGGAGGGATAGAACGGTGGAAGGAGGGAAGATGAAGCAGGGAGGGACATTGGCAAAGAGAGGGGCGGAGGGACGAGGACGAATGAGGGAGGCGGGAGAAGGAAAAGAGGGAAAAGCAGGAATTGGCAATCGCGCGGACGTCCATTCCCTGTGTGTTTCGGTTTCGTCCATGGTTTTTTTTCCGCAGGATGATCCAGGATGCTCTTTAATAACCCCCGCCGGGAAAAAGTGCACACGTCCGAGCGATACCAAGGGACAGGCGGACGGAGGGAGGAGAAAACAACGCGCCAGTGGGAAGCTTCCCTCGAGATCGGGCAGCCCGGCCTGGAAACTCAGATGTCCGGCTTCTCCCAGGAGATCATCATGGTGTCCCCGTTGAAGTAGTACTCTTGTCCACCTCGAAATTCCCATCCTTCTCATCATTATCCACATCATTCCTCATTTTTCTCCTCCTCCTCCTCCTCCTCTTCCTCAGCCTCCCCTTTCATCCCCTCCAAAACCCCGCGTCTCTCGATCATCAGCACCAGCATCATCAGAAGCATCATTCGCATCATCAGCATCATCACCACCGTCACCATCATCATCACCACCATCGACATTATCATCATCAGCAACAAAAGCATCATCAGCATCATGATGATCATCAGCACGATCATCCTCATCAACATCACCAGCATCAACGCCATCCTCATCATCATCGGCTCCATCACCGTCTCAATCATCGCCATCAGCATTAACATGATCAGGATGCTCATCATCATCGTGATCACCATCATCGCCATCAGCAGCATTAACATCATCATCGGCATCGGCAGCACAAACATCATCATCATCATCATCAGCAGCAGCAGAAGCATCACCAGTATCATCATCCGCAAAGTGCCAGCAGTACCTTCGAAAACCGACGCGCGAGACTTCCTCGCAAAAACCACACCAAACTGGACTCTTTCCCGGCGCCGCGCCGAGAAAGAACCCGGTTCGCCTTGAAACAACCCAGTCCGCCGGGAAAGAGACGAGATGCGGGTCGCAGCATAGTCGAGGTCCAGGTTCTGTCTCAGGCGTTGGCAGCTGCTCGCATTTTGACGCCTCAGGGGCACGCGAGGGGCGCGACGCCTTTCGGCAGCCGCCGCGCAGGTCGAGCCCGCGGAGCCCCACGCAGTCTTGCCTCCAGGATGGGAGCTGGGGCCAATGCCCGCGCCATTCACGCCATCACAAGCAACCTCGTCGGAGTTCCTGTCTGCGTCCGAATTATGGTTATTCGTCTTATGTTGTGCAACATAGTTGCCCCGTCTAGTGGCGTCGCTTTCGTCGATGATAGTACTTTCGGTTGAGAACCAAGGTTTTGCCAGTTCTCCGTCAGGACGGGAGCTTTCGCACCCCGATTAAACGGCAAAGCGTGCTCGTGTTCTTCATGATCTTCTTCCTGTAGAAGTGCCATGCTCAGATCCAAGCGACTTCCTGGGGATGTACTTCTTCCCGCCACTGCTTAGTATGACAGTCTGCCATTAAGCTACGACTAAAGTCACGCTACTCGCCGGGGGACGGCGCCGGGAGGGCGCACGCGCGCGGCGGGCGGGCCGATCCTCTCTTCCGCGACCGAAGCCGAAACAGCTTCGGTAAGTCAACGATGTCGGGCGGCGGCGGGACAGCGATGCTGAGGCAACGCAGGAGTGTGACAAAATCAACTGCATCGTTAACATTTCGCATCATCGTCAGCAGCATCATCAACATCAGCATTGTCATCGCTACCCTCATCTTACTCATCGTCTCCGTCCGCACCACTCTACTCACCAATATCCTCGTCATCCTCCTCAGCATCCTCCTCATCATGACCAGCATCATCACAAGCAGCACCATCATTCTTGGCGTCAACATAATCGCCATCGTCATCATCACCACCATCAACCTCATCAGCAGCATTATCATCAACATCAGAACTGTCATCCACCACATCCTCACTCCCCTTTCTAAGTCCCCCTGCTTCCCGCATCCTTGCCACCCCTTCCTGATTCGCCTCCTCCCAGAGAGAGAGGGAGACAAAATAAGAGAGAGAGAGAGAGGAGAGAGAGAGAGAGGAGAGAGAGAGAGAGAGAGTTAGAGAGAAGAGAGAGAGAGAGAGCGAGAGACAGAGAGAGAGAGAGGTAGAGGGTAAAGGAAGAGAGAAAGAGAAGAGAGAGAGAGAGAGAGAGTATAGAGAGAGAGAGAGAGAAAAAACAATTAAAAAAAATGCTCGCTCTTATCTGCTCGCGTCCCATCCAAGACGTGTATCCCAAACCCTGGATACCCGCCCTCATCGTCTTCGGTCGTACTCCCTTGGGGGTATATCTTTCTTGCCTGCAACGTGTATGTCGTGCAGCCCTTAAGGCAGGGGCAGGGGACAGATGGAAGGAAGGGACAAGGGGCAGGCGGGTTGCTGAAGAGTACGTCCTGCATGAATCGCGAGGAATTCTCGAACGGTAGCGCGAGTCCCAAATAAACCGTGAGGAAATCCACAGCGAGAGCGTGATTCCTGAGTGTCGAAGGCGCGGCGACTGAGAAAATTGTGAGGAAGTGCCTCGCGAGCGCGCGATTCCTGTATGAATTGTGAGGAAGTCCCGCGCGCGAGCGCGATTGGAAATAAATTGTGAGAAGTATCTGGCGGGAGCCTTTGTTGGTGTAAACCGAGGGCCAGGGGCACAGTTTGGTCAGTTTGGTGGCACCTCACTTTCCCTTGTAAAAGAAAGGGTGCGAGCCACGCGAGAAGCACTTCAATTGAAAAATACAATGGTTACCGGAGGGGGGATCAACAATGATTATGCTTCAGAAGTGAGGATTCAACAACAACCACGACAACAGCAGCAGTAGCCACAACAACAACCAAGAACAACCGCGCGTGAGTGCCCCATGGTCCCAAACCTCGTTCCCCGCGTTCTTCCCTAAGGTGGAACCGCGCGTCTGTGCCCCATTGGCCGATTCGGCCCCCCCCCCAGCAACCAGCAACCAGCAAGCAGCAACCTGGGACTCCGTTCCCTGCTCCGCTGGCGAATTCGCTCGCTTAAGGGTGTGGACTCATCCTCCATGCCATTTTGCCGTGTCTGCACCAGCGAAGCTCCGGAATCTATGGAGTCCTCTCGGATCCTTAGGTGGATCCAGCTCTACTACAATCCCATTACTGGTGGATCCAGCTCTACTACAATCCTATTAGTGGTGGGTCCACCTCTACTACAATCCTGTTAGTGGTCGGTCCACCTCTACTACAGTCCTATTACTGCTGGATCCACCTCTACTACAATCCAATTACTGCTGGATCCACCTCTACTATAATCCTATCAGTGGTGGATCCACCTCTACTACATTCCTATGTGTGGTGGATCCACCTCTACAACAATCCTATTAGTGGTGGGTCCACCTCTACTACAATCCGATTAATGGTGGGTCCACCTCTACTACAATCCTATTAGTGGTGGATCCAGCTCTACTACAATCCTATTAGTGGTGGATCCACCTCTACTACAATCCTATTAGTGGCGGATCCACCTCTACTACAATCCTATTAGTGGTGGATCCTGCTCTACTACAATCCTTTTACTTGTGGATCTAGCTATACTACAATCCAGCCCTTTTTCGTTTTGGGAAGTCCTCCTCCTCCTCCTCCTCCTCCTCCTCCGCCTCCTCCTGCCTCCTCCTCCTCCTCCTCCTCCTGGCGGAGGAGGCCCAGAGGGGGGACCTATCCACCCTAACCAAGTTCTCACCCAATCTCGCCGTGCTTCGGCCGTCTTCAAGCTGTCTGCAGCCGTTGGGCTGTGGGTTGTCTACGAGCCGTCGTCGTTGAGAGGGGTGTGCCGACATGCGGTTTCGGTGGAGCTCCCTGCGAGACCCAGGGCCGCGATCCTCCAGAGGGGTGTGCCGAAAAGAAGCTTCGGTGGAGCTCCCTGTGGGGCCAGGGCCAGGATCCTCGAGAGGCGTGTGCCGAAATGAAGCTTCGGCGGAGCTCCCTGTGGGGCCAAGCCCAAGATCATCGAGAGGGGTGGGCTGAAATGAAGCGTCGGTCCAGCACCCTGTGGGGCCAGGGCCACGGTCCTCGAGATGTGTGTACCGAGATAAGCTTCAGTGGAGCTCCCTGTGGGACCAGGACAACGATCCTCGAGAGGGGTGTGCCGAAATGAAGCTTGGGTGGAATTCCCTGTGGGGCCAGGTCCACGATCCTCGAGAGGGGTGTGCCGAAATCAAACTTCGGTGGAGCTCCCTGTAGGGCCAGGGCCACGATCCTCGAGAGGGGTGGTGTGACGAAATGAAGCTTCGGTGGAGCTCCCTGTTGGGCCAGGGAGCTCCCTCTGTGGCCAAGGGCTCGATCCTCAAGATGGGTGTGCCGAAATAAAAGTTCGGTGGCATTCCTTGTGGGGCCAGGGCCATGATCCTCGAGAGGGTTTTGCCAAAATGAAGCTTCGGTGGAGCTCCCTGTGGGGCCAGGGCCACGATCCTCGAGAGGCGTGTGCCGAAATGAAGCTTCGGAGGAGCTCCCTGTGGGGCCAGGGCCATGATCCTCGAGAGGGGTGGGCTGAAATGAAGCGTCGGTCCAGCACCCTGTGGGGCCAGGGCCACGGTCCTCGAGATGTGTGTACCGAGATGAAGCTTCAGTGGAGCTCCCTGTGGGACCAGGGCAACGATCCTCGAGAGGGGTGTGCCGAAATGAAGCTTGGGTGGAATTCCCTGTGGGGCCAGGTCCACGATCCTCAAGAGGGGTGTGCCGAAATCAAACTTCGGTGGAGCTCCCTGTAGGGCCAGGGCCACGATCCTCGAGAGGGGTGGTGTGCCGAAATGAAGCTTCGGTGGAGCTCCCTGTTGGCCAGGGAGATCCCTCTGTGGCCAAGGGCTCGATCCTCAAGATGGGTGTGCCGGAATAAAAATTCGGTGGCGTTCCTTGTGGGGCCAGGGCCATGATCCTCGAGAGGGTTTTGCCAAAATGAAGCTTCGGTGGAGCTCCCTGTGGGGCCAGGGCCACGATCCTCGAAAGGTGTGCCGAAATTCAGCTTCGGTGGGGCTCCCTGTGGGGCCAGGGCCACGATCCTTGAAAGGTGTCCGCCGAAATGAAGCTTCGGTGGAGCTCCCTGTGGGGCCAGGGCCACGATCCTCGAGAGGGGCGTGCCGAAATGAAGCTTCGGTGGAGCTCCTTGTGGGGACAGGGCCACGATCCTCGAGAGGCGTGTGCCGAAATGAAGCTTCGGATGAACTCCCTGTGGTGCCAGGGCCACGATCCTCAAGATGGGTGTGCCGAAATAAAGCTTCGGCGGAGCTCCCTGCGGAGCTATGGCCACGATCCTCGATAGGGGTGTGCCGAAATGAAGTTTCGGTGGAGCTCCTTGTGGGGCCAGGGCCGAGATCCTGGAGAGGGGTGTCCCGAAATGAAGCTTCGTTGGGGCTCCCTGTGGGGCCAGGGCCAGGATCCTCGAGAGGCGTGTGCCGAAATGGAGCTTCGGTGGAGCTCCGTGTGGGGCCAGGGCCACGATCCTCGCGAGGGGTGTACCGAAATGAAGCTTCGGAGGAGCTCCCTGTGGGGCCAGGGCCATGATCCTCGAGAGGGGTGTGCCGAAATCGGGCTTCGGTGCAGCTTCCCGTGGGGCCAGGGCCACGATCCTCTATAGATGCGTGCTAGAATGAAGCTTCGGAGGAGCTCCCTGTGGCGCCAGGGCCACGATTCTCGAGAGGGGGGTGCCGAAATGAAGCCCCGGTGCAGCTACATGTCGGACCAGGGCCGCGATCCTCGAGAGAGGTGTTCCGAAATGCAGCTTCGGTTAAGCTTCCTGTGGGGCCAGGGCCACGATCCTCGAGAGGGGTGTTCCGAAATGAAGCTTCGGAGGAGCTCCCTGTGGCGCCAGGGCCACGATCCTCGAGAGGGGTGTGCCGAAATGAAGTTTTGGTGGAGCTCCCTGTGGGTCCAGGGCCACGATCCTCGAGAGGGGTGTGCCGAAATGAAGCGTCGGTCCAGCTCCCTGTGGGGCCAGGGCCACGATCCTCGAGAGGGATGTGCCAAAATGAAGTTTCGGTGGGGTTCCCTGCGAAGCCAGGGCCGCGAGCCTTGAGAGAGGTGTGCCGAAATGAAGCTCTGGTGGAGCGCCCTGCGGAGCCAAAGCAACAATCCCGTGGGGAGGTCCACCGAAATGAAGCTTCGGTGGGCCTCCCTAAGGGATTGTTGATGGTTGCTGGTTGCTGGGGGGGGGGAACACGGGGCCCCAACCCCCTGTTGATTCCAACAACAACAACAACAACAACAACAACAACAACAACAACAACAACAACAATTACTAGCACGTGGGGACACACCGTTCTCACCAGTGCCAGGGTTTTCATAGGAGGCGGGCAATACCCCCACTTTGTGGGGGGGCCGGTTCAAGCTCTACCAAATTTCCAAACGACTCTTCGCCACCACCCACACCGCGCGAAGAAAAAACGAATGTGTCCCGCATGGTATTATTTGACAGGGATGATGGCCCTGGCAGGTGCGCAACCGTTGTTACAGAAGTTCGAAAAAGTTGCTCGCAAAAGCCCGTTTGACAGAAATGATTAAAAAGTGTTGGGTTTCCTACGAATCCGCAAGAGCGCGCGGGATGAAATTTTGACAATTTTTTTGAAAAACCATTGGTTTTTTGATGTTTTTATGTTAAAATCGCTACGAAAACTAAGGTTTTGGAAGGATTTCGTCTTGCGCGCGCGAATGTCCACTTTACCTTCTTTTTTGCAAGGGATTCTTGAAGTTTGGTTATGTTAGAACAAGAAATGTCCACTTTAGCTTATTTTTTGCAAGGGAAAACCGATCGTAACAACACAACCGGATCCGGACCAACCCGTTTTGCCTGAGACTTCCTCACGAAAATGATGAAAATGAGGCTGCGGCCTAGGCGCGGCGGGGGGGTCGCGCACCAGGGGTCCCAACAATAATTATTCTTTAGAAGTAATAATGTTCAACAACAACAACAACAACAAAAACAACAACAACAACAACAACAACAACAACAACAACAACAACAACAACAACAACAACAACAACAACAACAACAACAACAACAACCACAACCACAACCAAAACAGCCACAACAACAGAAAGGAAATGGAAAGAGAGAGAGAGAGAGGAAACAAGAAAAAAGAGTGCGAGAAGGCGGCACGTAAGAGCTGGCTGCGAAGGCAGGAGGGTGGACATGGAGGAAGCGAGAGGAAAAGTTGCCTGGCCACCCCCCTCTACACTACCCGCCCTGACGTTGGAGCGGCACACCTCCTTCACTTCCTGCCCTGCTCGTGCTCAAGAGCATCGGACGTATCTGGAGCAAACTGGGCGGGGCGTTGGCCGCTCCGATGGTACGACAGGCGTTGTCAGGGCAGCCCCGCAGCCTGCCCTGCCGCAAGAGTCAAGAGGCGGCGGAGAGCACAATTCACTGCCGAACCATGCTGTCCCCGGGGGGTCCTAAGACGGTGCGGGGCCAGACCGTGCGGTGACCTCGAAGTCCTCAGGACCTCACCACATGGCCCATCACCGCGCTATGCTGGGACCTGGGAGGTCCTCTCGCCCGAAACAACCTCGGAGAACGATCCATATACCAAAACCGTAAGGTGGCCCTGAATCTCCACTGACTCACCACACGGTGTGATCACCGCACCGTTTGGAGGCCTCCGATGTGCTTCAGCCAGACCGTGCTCTGGCGTGCCCCGTAGGTGGCTGGAAGGACACGGGGAGGCACAGGTGGTGAGCAAAGCGTAGCCAGGACGGGCCGCGGGGGCCACGCAAGGAACTGCAGGAAAGATCTTGCACTTCTTCAAAGTTGTCTATATAAATTATTGTAACATGAATCTAATACATCTCTTGTCCTGAACATGTCACTAAGCATACGAAAACACAGCTGATTGGCAAGGACAATGGGCAGCGATGTACGCTTCCGGAGTTCTGCCGGACGCGTGCTCTGAGCATGCTAAGCCCGCGGCTGTTGTTCACACGCCTTTCCCACGGTTGCGGCGGCTCCGCCATCGTCTCGCCTGACTCTGGATCCCAATCCGCCGACCCTGTGCATCACAGGATGAGGGCTTGAGAGCCGCCCATCGGATTCGCCCCCGCCTTCCCCGCCCTCTCAGCACTCCAGTCACTGAAGAAGAGGAGGCTGAGGAAAGGGGGAATGGAGCATCGACCGTGTTCAGAGCACCGTTGCTGGAAACCCTCCGATTGGAGGTACGGCCGAGACCCGAAACACTGCGAAGAGCACACCTGCACCCCAGCTCTAACCGTAGCACATCATTAAGGTCCAGCATAAGATGTTCCTAAATCAGATGCCCACTGGAAAATGCATGAAACGCCATCAATACCAAGATGTTCAGAGAGCGGCGCTGACGACATCGAAAACAACCTGCACAAGATTCCCTCAATCGACCACTTCATGAGCGCTGAATGCGCTGACGGCTGAGAATGACAATCCTACACACGTTGTGCGTCGATGTCCCGAAGTAACAATCGTCTTGGCCTTATCGTCGCGATGCTCTGCTCTTCGTCCTCCTCCTTACGATGCTCTTGCGTGCCACCGATGGGCTCCACACAGTCCAGCAGACATCCGGGCGGATCCAGTATACAAAAACCAGCCCCGATGGTGGGCCGACTCCGCCTAATACTGCCCGCTCACCCCCCTTTCCCTTCCTCAGCCCATACACGTTCCCCCCGAGCGTCCCCAGGACACCCGAGACACACACACACACACACACACACACACACACCCGTGCCGCACAAACGCACACACACAAGAAAACATACAATGCAAACCAACGATACGTAGATGCAAATATGTATGCATGTATACATGTGTATACGCGTAGCATGTAGATGTACTGTCACATATATATATAGCCACACATGTATTATACACGTATATGTAAAGATGTATATATCGGTATATCGGAGTAGGCCCGGGGAGGGGCCAGAAATGCTATCTCTGGTTCGTATGGGCGGCCGGGGGGGTTGGAGGGCTCCAAGAGGGTTGAGAAGGGGCCCCGGACCCCCCCCAGAGGCTCCCAAGCTGGCCCAAGAGGCGCCCAAAGCGCTCCAGGTTGTCTGGAAGGTGGCTGAAGAGCGCATTGAGATGGCTTCTGGACGGGCCACGAGCGCTCGAAGACAGCCCAAGACTGCTCCTAGACGGCCACAAAACACGGTCCAAGAGGCCGCCGAGAAGGCCCTTCAAGAACAAAAATCAAGCATTCCCAAAGAAAAACGTATATTTCTTTGATATTTGCTTTTCAATCCTACCAGCAGCCGCGACGGCCCCAGAGGTTCCCAAAATGAGCCCCACACGACCCAGGAGGCCCCCAAAAAAGCCGCCAGACGGCCTGAAGAGAGCTTCAAGCAGCACAAGAGAGCCCCAACACGGCCCAAGAAGTACCCAGGAACCCCGAGGGGGCCACCAGAGGATCCCTACATGGTCGGAGAGGGCCCCCCGAGGGCCCCAAGACGGGCTCAGGTCCCCATGACGGGCGAAGAGGGATCCAGAACGGCCGAGCTGGGCTCCCAAAGGGGTCCAAAAAAAGCCGTCCAGGACTCCCTGAAGACGGTCCACGAGGCCGCTGAGAAGGCTCCTGGGTGCAAACAACGAGCATATCCCATGGAAAAACATACATTTCTATGAAATTCGCTTCTTATGTTCCATCGGCGGCCACGTCGGCCCCAAGGGCTCCCCATATCGGCGCCACACGGTCCACGAGGCCCCCAAGAGGGCTCCAAGACAGCCTCAAGAGAGCGTCGAGCAGCACAAGAGAGCTCCAAGACAGCCCGAGAGAGTCCCCAGGGGGCCCGAGGGAGCCACCGGAGGATCCCTACATGGTCGGAGAGGGCTCCATGAGGGCCCCAAGACGGCTTAGCTACCCATGACATGCCAAGAGGGGCTTGGGACAGCCGAAATGGGCTCCCAGACGGGCCACAAGAGGCCCCAAAAGGACCCCCCCACGACTGGCCAAGAGGCCACTGAGAAGGCCATCCAAAACCAAAAATCAAGCATTTCCTTCGGAAAAACGAATATTATTGGGAGCTTCGTTTTTCAGTTCTACCAGCGGTCGCGACGGCCCAAGAGGTTACCAAAATGGGCCCCAGACGGCCCCAGAGGCCCCAAAGAGGTTTCCAAGATGGGCTGAAGAGGGCTTCAAGCGGCACAGAAGAGCTACAAGACGGCCAAAGAGAGCCCCCAGGAAGCCCGAGGGGGCCACCAGAGGATTCCTACATGGTCGGAGGGGGCCCCAGGAGGGCCCCAAGACAGGCTGAGCCCCCCACGACGAGCCAAGAGGGACCCGGAACGGCCGAAATGGGCCCTCAGACGGGCCAACAAAGGCCCCAAAGGACTCCAAGGAAGGCCCGGAGAGGCTCCAGTGACTGCCAGTGCTTCCAAAGAGGCTCCCGGCACGCGTTCCAGTATGCACCCGTGTACTGGGTGCGTTGAGAGAAGAGAGGAGGAGGACAAGGAGGAGGAGGAGGAGCAGGAGGAGGAGGAGGAGGAGGAGGAGGAGGAGGAGGAGGAGGAGGAGGAGGAGGAGCAGGAGCAGCAGGAGGAGGAGGAGTAGGAGGAGGGAGAGGAAGATCAGGAGGACGAAGAGGGGGAAGAGGAGGGGTGTCTGAAAACGTACCCCAGTGATACCTGGCTTGTGGCAGCCACGCGTTGATATCGACTTGGAAGAGGAACACAAGGAACACAAGGAGGGACACACCGAAGAGCGGGGAAGACAGGGAGGAGTAGGAGAAGGAGGAAGAGGAGGAGGAGGGGGAGGAGGTGAAGGAACAGGGATCCCTTTCAGGGAGACGCCGACGAAGATGATGGGAAGAGGGAGAACGGGAAGAGGAGGAGGTGAAGGGGACTGCAGCGGGCCGGGGATGATGACGGCGATGACGCTGACGCTGATGATGATGACGATGACAATGCCGACGACGACGCCGACGACGACCAACAAGATGTTGATGATGCGGATGATGAGGCTGAGAAGCACGATGATGATGATGGCGATGGTGATAACGCTGCTGATGATAATGGTGATGATGATAATTGTTGTGATGATTATGGAAAAATAACCATGACCATGACGATGACGATGACGGGGATGAGGATGACAATGATGACGATGATCATGACCCTAGCTAGAACATGAGCGCGCGCGAATCGCGCGATGGCTCTAGAATATATATATATATATATATATATACATGCAGAAGTTCATACACACATACATACATACATACATACATACATACATACATACATACATACATACATACAGGCATACATACATACAAACAGACAAACGTGCATACACATATAAACAGAGACAGACAATCAGACAGGCAGGCAGGCAGACAGACAGACTGAGATACACACAGACATGAGATGTACATGCATACATGCGTGCATGAATGCGTACATGCATACATAAACACATAAACACATACATACATACATACATACATACATACATACATACATACATACATACATACATACATACATACATACATACATACATACATACATATATACATCCATCCATCCATCCATCCATCCATCCATCCATCCATCCATCCATCCATACATACATACATACATACATACATACATACATACATATGTAAATTCCACAAGCACTGGTTGCACTTCAGGGCTCTTACTTATTTTCTGCGGAAGTGGGCGAGAAGATCGGTCTGGCGACGATGTGGCCGCCGTCGCCGTCCCGTCGCCGGCTCGTCGTTGCGCGTCGTCTGGCAGCTATGTGGCCGCCGTCGCCGGCTCGTCGTTGCGCGTCGTCTGTGCCTGAGGGACGGTCTGGCAGCTATGTGGCCGCCGTCGCCGCCCCATCGCCGCCTCGTCGCCGCCCATCGTCTGGGCCTGACGGCCGGTCTGGCGGCTATGTGGCCGCCTTCGCCGCCCCGTCGCCGACTAGATTGTAAAACACAGATTGCACCACATAGATTCTCCTGTCTAACAGAACAATAGACTCTACCCCCTACCCCCCAAGAATTAACGATCCACCTTTTCGTATTGCAATTTACATATGATTCTGCCCCATCGTCCATCCGAAATATGAATTCATACTATCCCAGCCAAACCGGTATCGCTCCCCCCCGCCATCCGCTGCAAAAATTATCCTGGCGAGGGACCCAACCATGTGCAGTTGTGAGTGACGCAGTTGTGGGTATCGACCTCGGTGAACCTCTCTGGGGTCACGACGCGTGTGACGGGTGTGCCAAAATTGACACGGGTACGCCATGCGGACGCTGCCACCAGAGCCGTCGGTGGAGCACCCTATGGGGCCGCGGAACGTGCAAGGGGTGCGCCGAAATGGGGGGTGGAACTGCATGCGGACCCTGCCACTGGGGCCTTCGGCGGAGCACCCTATCGGGCCACGAAACTTGTGAGGGGTGTGCCGAAATGGGGGGGTGGAACCGCATGCGAACGCAGCACTGTGGCTTTCGGTGGAGCTCGCTATGGGGCCACGAAACGTGTGAGGGGTGCGCCGAAATAGAGGTGGAACCGCATGCGGGCGCTGCCGCTAGACCTTCGGTGGAGCACCCGATGGGGCCACGAAACGTTCGAAAGGGGTGCGCCAAAATTGAGGTGGAACTGCATGCGGACCCTGCCACTGGGGCCTTCGGCGGAGCACCCTATAGGGCCACGAAACGTGTGAGAGGTGCGCCGAAATGGAGGTGGAACTGCATGCGGACCCTGCCACTGGGGCCTTCGGCGGAGCACCCTATAGGGCCACGAAACGTGTGAGGGGTGCGCCGAAATGGAGGTGGAACTGTATGCGGACCCTGCCACTGGGGCCTTCGGTGGAGCACCCCATGGGCCACGAAACGTGTGAGAGGTGCGCCGAAATGGAGGTGGAACTGCATGCGGACCCTGCCACTGGGGCCTGGGTGGAGCACCCTATGGGGGCCACGAGACGTGTGAGGGGTGCGCCGAAATGGAGGTGGAACTGCATGCGGACCCTGCCACTGGGGCCTTCGGCGGAGCACCCTATAGGGCCATGAAACGTGTGAGGGGTGCGCC